GTTGTTAGCACCCGCCAATCCGCACTGGGCCCGTGTGGTGGGTCATGGCCCAATCTCCCTATGCCATCCATAGGGAAGACCTGTGCCCCAGCAGTGGGGACATTAATAGGCTGATGATGATGATGAATACCAATTGTGTGGCACGCCGGGCTGTCGTAGTAGCGAGAAGTTACCAACCCGCACTTATTGGGTGGAGGGTCGAACGGAGGTGTCTTGACGATGGAAGTGGACTGTAGCTGGCGAAATAAAACCACTCAAGATTCGTTGTCGAAGAAAGTCGGTGTGCGCTGGTAATGGATGGCCGGTAAGAAGTCTTCAAGATCCAGGGAGAACCGCTAATTATTCCTTCTTTTTATTAGTAGGAGCGCCGGTCGCTGAATGACATAAACAAATCTCAGTACCAAACAAATTGCACCAGTAAAGTTAGTTTTAAACAATAATCACTATGAATTGATTTCAATTATTGAATTTGTTCCACCTGGATTTGGTGAAATGGGCCATTACAAGGCACATTGCAAACGTGAGAATATGTGGCTATTATTCAGATCGTTGTAACACTGCAAACACCTATACTTATGTTTTTATTTTAAATATAACTGTAACAATACAACAGTAAAAATATAATATTAAGAAAAGACAGTCTGCCTGTCGTGCTTTTTTATTGTGTTATTTTGATTTTTTGAGGATTATGGGATTTTCTAAAAATAAAAAATACAGTTATAATTTTTATTTTTAAGCATGTAACTACTTGATGTTTAAATTTAAAGAAACTATAACTATAATAAATTCCACGCGGACCAGGTAGCAGACGGGACTCGAACCCACACCCTTCGCTAACCGGGCGAATACACTGACCAATTATGCTACCGCGGCCCTAATGGCAGCGTCGAAATTCTTCTAGCCATTCTTAAGCTGCAAGGCAGCTCCATCTCTTCGCATTGTAGGTAACCCACAATGTCAAATGAATACTTTTACAAGTATTAAACATTTGAAAGAAGAAATAGCAATTATAGTTATAATTTTTATTCTTAAGCATCGTTTCCACTCAGTCCCGGAAAATCTGCAAACTCTGGCATATCTGCTGTCATTAGAGTGAACCGAGCTCGTCTGCGATTATAATTATGGCGATTAACGAGTTCTGCTAATACATTTAGCGTATTGATTTTTTTCATCTATGATCTCCAAAATCGCTGAAGCATGTGGATTATTTTCGATTACAATATGGTATTTATTTAAAATGGCTGCTGCGATTCTGAAGTAATCAAATATGTTTCTAGCGGCTCTATTATATTATTAGCTCTTCTGCACTCGACATTTTGTAATTCACTTACAGCATTCATTTTTCATCAATTTCATTTTGGCATCAACTAAAGGAGATTGCTCAAATTGGCCCAAATGCACAAAAAATATTGACATACACGGTAATTCTTGGCGTAATTTATAATTTAATTTACAGTCATTAGATTTCAACGGACATCTTTGTATAATATATTTACTTTAAAAAGGACTTTTAATTTTACCGGTTTGGAAAACATATTAATCATTTTTAATGGCTATGGGTGTAGTAACATTCAGCCAAAGACTGATCGAAGTTGTTTATATAACATAAAACAAATCTATTTTGTAAAGATCGATAAAATAGATCATTTTTTTGTTTTACACTGTGGTATTAATATCCACAACTATATTATCATTTTCACTAGATGCAAATGTGCTCAGACAATTATTATAGATGGTAGGCGACATCATAAAGTCTATTGCCATACATTTTTCGCCAAACACCTCCATAAACACATTACAATCTGTATATATGATAGACTTTAAGGTTCTCTTAGAGAGTATATTGTTCTGTGCTTTAAGGTATCTATCTATGGGCCTACGTTCCCTGACTATAAATTAATAAATAAATAAAATTATAAGGTGTGATACACTAAAAATCTAAAATATGGTTATCTTAAAACACATAACAAAAATAATGAAGCTACTGAATATATGGCTATAGAACCTAAATCTCTTAGCTTTCTATGGTTAACGAGAGTTTAAAAATTCTCTCTAATCTGTGGCTCATTCACAATCATCACACAGTTTCTGTCACAGAGTACCTACCTTATTATAACCGGAAATGACACCTGATTTTAAAAGTTACTCTTATGCATTAACTTTAAAAACAGGCAACTATCTGTTAATCTTCTTGCTCTATATACCTGAATCTAATCCAAAATTTCGGTACTTGGCTTGATTTCCCAAGTTTACTATATAACTTATTTGTTTTTTATTATTTTAAAATGTTCAGTCCATATGGTTTATAGAAGTTCTCAGGGGTGTCCGTCAATAATATTCGTTTCTACAGTAATTTATATATAATTTGGAATCTAGGAAACAATTTTTGATGATTATTGGTCTTTAGGCCAAACATGTATGGAAGCTGAGCAATCGCAAAAAAGTGAAGGAAAAATGAAAGAATAGCTCTTATTGCGAAGGTGACCTTTATTGATATTGTCGTTATTCAATTGAAAGTACGCTTAATAATCGCTTCGGAAACTTTAGTTGTAAATGGGGCACAACAATCGTTAGATTCTTATACCAATACAACTCCGGCGGTTAATGGGTTAATTCTTTGTTTCGAGATTTTGTTAGGGGCCCGGGATGTATTTTTATTCATTCCTATTCGTAATACTGCTGACTGAACACGTTATTTGAATATAACCGCATTTTAATTTCGCCACCCTGACACAACTTCTGTTACAAGGCGTTAACGAATATAATAACATATACCTTGTACCTGAATTTTATGAATTAAGTAAACCAGTTTGAAAAGAAAAAACGTATGTAAAGGTAGTACCTATATACTAATATCTTTACTGCCTCTAAAAGGACTCCATCCCAATGTTAATTTGGAATCAAATTGCAATTTAATCTTTATGTTAACTGTGACAGAGTTTATAATTATATAAATCAGCTTAGTGCAGAATACTAGCGTCAAATATTTTTGTAAGGTTTTTAATCAAGAAAATATAAATAAACACTAATAATTTCGCCAACTTTGTAGTTTTTATTGCTTTTTCAGATTCCTTGCGTTCGTCTTGATAACAGAACATTTTTTGTTAATATCCAATGATATCATTTTCAAAATAGTTTTGATAATTAATAGGCATAATGCAGATATTTTTAGGGATTATTCGAATAAAGAAATACTATTTAACGAACTAGTTATGTAAAATAATTCTCGTGACAAATTAAAATTGGCGTGTGGAGTGCCCTCTTCGTGACTGCGCGACTGAGTGAGCTTGCGTCAAGCGAAGCAGTGATGAGGTAAAATGAGAAAATGTTGCTATCTTTGCGTAAAATGCTGTAGTTTGGGTAAAAATTCACGAGTAAGGAAATGAAGATTATCTATCAAATTCTTATTGTTACTTTGATCGGTTTTTTAAGGTATTAAGCTATTAATTTGACTTGTATTTTATCATTTCTGGGATAAGGTTTTGTGGTTAGTGAAAAACCTTAAAAATTTTAGGTCTTTGTACCGGTGATGTTTTTATTTTGGTAGCAAATTTCTAACTTACGGAATTAGAAGTATTAATTTTTTGTGTGTTATGTATGTTGTAGAAGTATTGATATTTATGTTTTGTTTATTGACGTGACAACGTCTTAAATTAGGTTGCGGCTGGGAGTCACTTATGAAAAAGTGTAACGCTCGGTAACGTTACGATGAGTCTCTCGTGTTAAGTTTAAGTTTACATGTACAATGTTTTAGTAAACAAAATATATTTCTATAGTTAAAATTTGTGCAATTCTTATTTTCATTCAATTCCTTGTTCCTATTGTGCAATTTAATTATATTCATATCAATAAATATTCTACCGAGAAAAAGACGTTGTCACGTAAAATCTTCGCCCGTAAAACCGACTTTACAGGCAACCATTTTTTTTTAACATGGTCGTATTTGCTATTTTTTTTAATGTGTTACTAGCCTTACGCCTGGCCCTTGTCTAAGCTCGTTACCTTCATTCCCCGTTTTAACCTCATATGGGTTAAACTTTCAAATAAAATTTAGACAATCATATACTTAGGTATTACCAACCTAGTAGTAAATAATAACTCGGATCTATCACATGCATGCACTGAGTCCAAATCTTAATTTGACTTTAAATGTCCTTGAGATAATAAGTGAAGGACGTGAACCTATATTTTTTTAAATTTTAGTGCTTTTGTTTTTAGGTAGTAGGTTTCTATTTTTGATAATACAGTTTATATTTTCCACTTTTCATAAGGTCCGAGACCGAGTTCAATATTGAAACATGTATACCGATTAGAATTGAAAATCTATTCCATGTTTCAATTTTGGCCCTGTCAGACTTCCAAATCATACTAAGGCCCGCCCGAGTTCATGTGATTCGCGCGGATTGGTGGGTGACAATGGATCCAGTGCGGATTGGTGCTTGATAACGGACCCAGTGCGGATTGGTGGATGATAACGGGACCCAGCGCGGATTGGTGGGTGATAACGGACCCACTGCGGATTGGTGGGTGATAACGGACCCAGTGCGGATTGGTGGGTGATAACGGACCCAGCACCAATTGGGGGTGACAATGGACCCAGTGCGGATTAGTGGATGATAACGGACCCATTGCGAATTGGTAGTTTTTTTTCTATCAACAAATCTTCAGGTTAAGTTTATGATTTTCAGATTATTTGAACTAGAGAAGTTTCCTTCAATCGTGTGGTCATAAGCACACTCGCTTTTTTCATTTTAAAATAATTTATAACTCTATATAATTATGCCGAAACCACTGGGTTTGTCTAGTGGTTTCGGCGGTGCGTTTTTGATCACTCAGTTTTTACCTAATTTAACAACAAGATAACTATTATACATATTATAATGATCATTGATAACATTAGACCGATAAATTAATTAATATAACATTCTGCCTTGCGTATTGTCAGGCACGTGAGAAATTTTGCTAGATACACTGGCAACACTTGTAATGCCGTAGCGGTCGGTAAAGCAGTGTCGCACAGAAAGTGCTCCCGTACTGTTTGTGTGCACCCCAGATCAAACTGTCAAACACATTAACCTCTTGTTATTAGCGAATATTAACTGCAACATTGAAGCTCTTTAGTATTGTGTGTGTAATCACGATTTAACGTTTAGAGATGGCTTAAACTCAATCATGTGTTGATGTTTGTTTTTATTTAAACCAGGTGAGTCTTAATTATCTTTGCTATTTTTGCACGCAAATTAATTATTCGCTAAGACATGCGAAACATTTCATAACTTGTTGTTTTATTGTTCATCTTTATTTTCTATGGTTGTAAGTGTATTTTATGTTTATACAGTATGATATGCGATTCTTATTTTTATTCTTTTTGAACGTTTGTAAATAAATTTTATTATCATAATATTTACATACAATGCGCATAATTATTATTGTGCGTAAGTAGATAGGTACTGTCGGCATCCGCTGCGAGCTTTTAACATTGTTACGATGACATCACGCCTTGCGGTCGATGTAAATAAAAGGAATCAAGAGCCACGCAGACCTATTAGCCTAGCTAGACGCTAATAAAATTAAATAAGCGTCTGTTATATCTAAGAATAACGAGAGCGTTTCGCGTAGCCCTGTGTGAAATAGTCGTAGACTGCCGCTCATATAATGCATTGCACAGAATGTATCTCATCCTCAGATATATAAGTTCTTTAAATTATAGATGTAGTGTGATGACCCCCGTAAGAAACTATGGGATGTGTTTTCTAAAAAAATATATGATGAGACCTTAGATTACAGAACAAAAGGCAGATGGAGCGCACGGTACACGCAAGGCGTGCCACCAAAGCAAATACAAAGTCAAAAGTAAATGATTCTTTTATCATTGTCAACAATTTTTACGATGTATGGACAAGGCGCCACATTTTGACAAAAACTTAATAATCATGGGACGTTATCACAACACGATGCGTTGTGGTGTACTGACGCGAATTAATAGTCGCTTTTGATTTCGTATTTGCTATGGTGCCACGCATTGCGTGTTCCATGCGCTCCATCTACCTTTTGTTCTGTAATCTGAGGTCCCACCCATCATAGTATTTTTTAAGAAAACACATTCCACAGTTTCTTACTAGGGTCATCACACTACAGCTGTAATTTAATGAACTTATATAATCTAAAGTATAATAAATCGAAAGATCCACCGCGAGGCTCTACAACGGAGCCTTATCAATCTCTCTTAACCCATCTCATCTTCCCTTTCCTTCAGAGGAATCAGAGGTCCACACGCGGGGCCTACTTTGCTTCAAACTTTCTGTGGTCACCAATCCAAAGCAATCAAAGTGTGACTCATTTCTTTATCGCTCTATTCGCAAATGGAATACTTTTCGCGCTCACGTTATACGTCCCTGGGGTAGGTGCGTGATGGAAAAACTGGCTGGCCGGCAAAGTGAGGATGACTAGTGTGACAGGTGAAACTGCTACACCAGCTATGTTCACGTCTGGACTGCATCATTTGCTCGTACTTTTATTTGAAAATTGGCATTTCTTCCATTAATGGAGCGCGAGAGAAATCTGTCTAAACTCTACGTACTTGACAGTAGGGTACAATAAATTGCCGTCTTTGAACATTTGTTAATTTTTCTTAATCGAACCGAACATTAAAACATTTATCAGAAGGCGCTGTTTTCACCGTATATTATTACGTTTCCGTTTCTGTCACGAATCTGTAGGTACAGTACCCTTAGCACGGACCAATTTCCAAATCGAATAGTTTGCTAGTTCGAATTGTCATTATCAAATGTGTACTGAGTTTAGTTCTCGTTGCGTACTTTGTGGCGCTGATGCTCAAATTTCCATACAAAATTTTACAATGACATTTCGTACTCGCAAACGATACGAATTCGATATTGGTTCGTGCTAAGGGTACAGACAGATTCTTTATCGAGAACCACTTCTAGACCGGCTCGGTTTCGGTGCGCTGCGGTATCATTCCGTTTTATTTGCTAGGTACGGTGTTTGTCATTTGTTACAATACTGTCACGTCGGGCGGGCGAGTCAAATGGTTCGGTAGGATTCGGTACAGAGAGCTGTGTATTCGCTCGGTAAAGAATCTGTACTGAAACGACACTGTGAGGAAATTCTCACTTGTTTACATGCACTCGGTATAGAATCTGTACTGAAACAAAACGATACCGCATCGAATCGGTGAGAAAGGCGCCTTAGTAGAGTACCAAGTCTGTGACCATGTCCGATTGTCTAAATTTCATTTTGCCCTTAAGTAGTAGTAGCTGGAATCAGAAAAAACAACAATTTCTTAAATCTTACTCAATATTTTCTTTATAGGCAAGGATATAAATTAGGTATCCTAAGAATTGCAATTAAAGTAATATGATCATTTCAAATTGTCGAAGTCGGTGCCCCAATGATGGTAGCATGAAAACTGTTATGCAAGCCATTCGACTACAGAGAGTGCAGAGGTCGGCAAGCCGTAGTATCGACTTGTTGTTATATTGTATCAACATTGTTACAGTATCTATACGATGTTACAGATTACAGTATACGCAGGGCCGGTTTTAGTACTACCACTTCAGTAACTGTAACATTAGTAACTGTAATTCAAACCCATACGAAAAAAAGGTAAATTTAAAAAATCAAAAAACCCGACTGCTTAATTATACTTCAAATAAAAACTGAAAAGAAAAAAACAAGTCCAGTAGTCTATAATTATGTTAATAAGGAACAAAAGCTACTTTAACAGTCGGGACCCATTATTGAAAAATATTATGTATTCTTGAATATCTAATGGGTCCCGACTGTTATAGTAGCTTTGTTCCTTATTAACAGAATTATAGATTACTGGACTTGTTTTTTTCTTTTCAGTTTTTATTTGAAGTATAATTAAGCAGTCGGGTTTTTTGATTTTTTAAATTTACCTTTTTTATTTCACACTTTTTAGTTAGTATACAAATTTATAAGATAATTTAATTATAAGACGGTATATAACCGTAGTCTTGTTACTTCAGTAAGGGAATTAATATCGCGGAAATTATTAAGTACCTTGCGGTGGTCTAAACGATTGATTTATTAAGACATATAGAGACTTTACCAGCGGGGTCAAAGCTACAGATGGGCATCAATTTTCACAAAAATGTGTGAAGTTAATATTGTAATGTTATTTAACTAATGTATGTAAATTTTATAGTAAACTAGCACTTATTCTAAAAGTCATCTTTTGTTTATGTTCTAGCGAAAAATGGGTTATTTGTCATTATATTAAGTACCCTTTATTTGTAGCATTAAGTAATATCGTTAAATAAAACAGTATAATTCTGAGTTCTTCATTAAAATTCAATAATCATAAATACCTATTACGATAATTTAATTTTCATCATTTAATAGGAAGGATCTGTATTACAGTTTTATTGTTAGTACTTCGTATAGGATCAGATACTGCGAGTAGCCTATTTTTTTCTTTTTCGCCTAGGTTTTATCTACGTTTATAAACGCCTAAATAAAATTTCTTCTCTTAGTATTCCTGCAGTCTACTCCTATATGGTACACCGCGCTATCACTTTGTCATCGTTGTAACTTTTTAAATATTTGTCGAAATGGCATAGTGTAAAAGGCAAAGATTATCATCTTTAAATATCAAAAGCGATAAATGTATTTGTTTTGATAAAAAAATATTTTTTTAATACAAAATGTGCATTTTGGAAATAGATATCAAATAATATTTTAGTTTTGATTCACTAATTTAGCGGTAATGGCTTACACATTAAAAATAGATATATGGTGTCACGGACTTTTTTGTAGAACTATTTAAGAGATACATTTTCACTCTACATTACATTCATGTAACTTTAATTGTTTTTGCAATGCAGGCCAAAATGGCTCGCAGATGGGAGATTTTTACCGTCTTATGTGACACTTATTGTTATATTTTGGTCAATTCACTCAATAACTACATAAATTGCTATATATATGTTATTATCATATATGAGCTATATTACTGTTAAGTTTCATTAAAATCCATTCAGTATTTTTTAGGCGAAAGAGTAACAAAGATCCATACAAACGTAAGATTGAAATTAAAAGCGCAAGTGGTTAATATACAACTTTAAAGCGTTGTAGATCCTAAACAATCATATAAAAAGAAAAATGGTATTAGGAACCTAAATATGATTTTTGATTATCTAGACAGTGATACCCCACTCGACATATTTTGTCAACTTATTTTTTTACCTTCGTCACAATATGGCGCCTAATTTTGCCCGTATTGAATTTTGATTACTATCATATCTTTAGTAGGACTCTCATGATTGAGACGAATCGATTGATGTATGAATCATCAAAATCGGTCCAGGCGTTTGGTCTCTAGTGTGCCACAAAGGAACAAACATACATATATAGACTGTTAAACACCCTGTCTGCGCGTCGCGCTTCGCGCTCTTGCATTGCGCAGCCGGGTAAAAAGGCCAAAGCTATAATGAAAATACTAATAAAATTTTATTTGTCTAGCTTTTCCATAGGCGAAATCTTTTTCTTAAGTTATCAAAGTTCATGTTTTCTACAATTTCATTGTTATTGACAAACTTGCCAAGTTTCTCAATCTAGATGTTTAAATAAACATGTACTTTCCTAATTATACGTAATTTATCTCAAAAAAGAAAAGGTAGCTATTTTTTATTTAAACTTTTTAGATAAAACTAACGTTTTCTGGTTTTCTCCTCCAAAACCCTTCCTGGCGCAGACTTTTACCATCTACTAAAAGTTATCACAAATTAAAATCCAGCTTAGGTTACAGAAACCTAGATCACTCTATAGTGATTTGCACTTCTATAAGTGCATTGATTTGCCTGCATAAATGGAGAAAATATACAGAATATTAAAAGATCCGTCTAAGTTACCTTGAAACTTTCAAATCAGCAAACACTTCATAAGAAAAACTGGGGGCCAATCGCCTAACGGAAATGCTTTGGGAAACGCTAACGCTTACGATTTTATATTGTTATTTCTAGCCGCCTGAGGTTTTCGAATACCTCACGCACATTTTTTTTAATATTGTTATTACCAATGCAAAAGAAAAAGAAAGAGTGCGAGGCATTCCAATGCCTCAGGCGGCTAGAAATAACAATATAAAATCGTAAGCGATAGCGTTTTCCAAAGCATTTCCGTTAGGCGATTGGCCCCCTGGTCTATGGTCATAGAGATAGC